TTCCAGGTGAGGCTTTAAAGATGTCTTCTTGTCTGATTGTTGTTTCTGGTCTGTCTGGTTTCCTGGATGCTGTTTCAATCTGTCTGACCTCATGTTCATCATTGACCTCTGCAGTCCCTCCCTTTGTGATGTAGAGCTCTGTGTAGATCTGATTGAGAAGGGTTGGGTTTCCTGCTTTAGCGATCCCTTCAAACACACACTGGAACTTCTTCTTCAGCCTATATTTAAGGCTACGATGATGAGCGGCAGCAGAAAGTTCTAAATGAAAAAAATCATGCGTACACAGTACGCATGATAAGAAATTACTTAACACATGCTTTTCATGTCTGGAGACATTAGTAAATATTATCCATCATATTACATATTTTTAGAAATCGTTTTACTGTCAGCCATCTCTTCCTGCTTCATTCTCCCCAGGAAGTCCACTGTGATCTTCACAAATGCCTCTCTGCTGCTCCTCTTCTCCTCCTCATCATCCCTCTGATTCTCTAAGCATTCTGGGTAATCTGGACCCAGAACCTTCTGGATCTTCTTCAGCTCGTCCTTCACAAAAGTGATGATGTTGTCTTCCAGCAGCTGGAATAGAATACTTTATGAACGACCCAATCAGGCTGAAATCATGGAGCCAAACATCAGATCCATGTTGGACACACTGACAATCCACTGGTCTACAAAGAGCAGCATAAAGATGAATGTGAATAGATGTAAAAGTAGTTGTTGTACATGTACAGACCATAAATATGGAGTCCAGCTGTGTTTGATGCTGCTGGGCAGACTGACCACTGGGAACCTCTGAGCTTTGCTGGTCCACTCTGTGGAGAAATCATGAAGAATTTCCGGAATTTTTAAAATGTTTTTTTTTTATTTATTTATTTATTTTTTTAGTTCAAATTTTAGTTGTTAGTTTTTTATGGACTGTGGTGGCAGACTTTTTAATCCCATGTATCATATCATTTTAGTATAGCAAGATACTTCTGACACGAATTGTTGGCATGCATGTTGAATGTTATCACAAGTCGGCCCCAGGTTTTATTGCACCTTCACAGAGAGTACATTATACACTTGAAGATCTCCAGACACCCTACTCTTAGGGAGGTGATGGATGGTCGTAACTTTAACCTACTCTGCTTGTTGGGTTTGGCGTTACTCACCTGCCTGCCTCCCTGCCAGGTTCTTTACAGTGAGAGAACTTAGTCTGGTTTAGCCTCATGCGGACCTTACTTCCCCCCAAGCCTTGCTTCCACCTGTAAAATTAAGATTAATGCCTCTTGCTTCCCCTTTCTTCCTTTGGACTTTGCTGCCACACTCCTAGTGTGACTCAGGTTTTCATGTTATGTGACTTTTACTGAAATTGTTGTAGTCGAGATTAGTGCTTCACAGTTCTGCTTTTGTTCACAGCATACTACAGTAATACTCTGGTATAGTATCTAGTAATTTTGAAGTTTTTGCCAGTCATAGTGAGTTAATTTAATTTCTTAGCCCCTGAGTGTGGTGCATTGTGTTAGTGTTTTAGTTGGAGCCAACTCCAGAGTTTAGGTGTATTTCCACTCACCTTCAGTTCATGTTTAGTATGTGTGTTCTGGTTTTGGTCGAGTGAATGCTCGCGCGAGTTGCTCCCACTATTTATCGCTAACCCTGTTGCTACTTTTATTGCTATTGGTGCTCTTTACTCCTGCTACTTGTACATTGTTACCTGCTACTTGCCCCCTTGGTTTTGCTACCCTTTTCTCCTTTTACTGTTATCACCACTCACTGCTATCCTCTCCCGGCATCCCAGCTACTCCCTCCAACGGATTCCTGTTCTATTCGTGTCTATACGGCCCATCTGTGTCTCTGCTCCTGTTCATGATGTGGCCTCCCAGGATTTATGCACTGTCTGTGTGGGCCTGGATCCTTGTGTCATCGATCCTTCAACCCTGTACTGAAATCCATCAATACACAGCTGATGAGCTCCTTTGACTCTGCTTTTCCCTGGCTGCTCCACCGCCTGCTGTTCTTCACCTCCATGCGGATATTGTTTTCCTGTCTTGCCGAAGTTACATCCATGGTATTTTAATCAAGATAATTCTAATCAACTACAATCTCTCTGGTCCACCTCTTGCCACTCTTCACAGAACCCTGGCAGGGCTGTTGACCACAATGTTTTGGCTAACCTGACCAGGTCGCCTAGCACTCTCACACAGTCTGACAGTACTTGCGTCAACTTCGGCCTGCTTAACATCCGTTCGCTCACGAACAAAGGTCATCTTGTCCAGGATCTCCTAAAAGACCGTCAGTTTTACTTTTTCTATTTGCTGGAGACGTGGCAACAGCCCAACGACTTTTCACATCTGGAAGACCAAAGGTGTGAAAACAGCCGTCTATTGCCTATTGTTCCTGTAAGAGGTATTTAACTGAGGGCCACGCTAGGCTCAGTGAGGGATTTCGCCGATCATCTGCCCTGCGATGGCTTTTCTCTACGCATCAAGCTTGGGTTTCGTTTTTTTTATTTTTTTTATTAAAGGATCTTAGCTACCACTCACTGTTTGTCTGCAGGCTTTATTTAAATGGAAAACTCCCACAACAGGACTTACTCCTTCCAACTGCACAGCTGACAAACTACCATTCTCTGATCACCTGCTTCTTTCTTTTAATGTCCAAATGACTTTTTCCATAATCAAGAACGCTCACACTATTTCTTTTCGGAATATCAAGAAAATAAATCTTGATATTCTTTCCTCTGCTTTTTCTAGCTGATGTCTCTCAACAACCTGTCTATTCAAGATGAGCACCTCTGTTCTTTAAAGACAAACATGAACCCACTCAGTACACACTTTCCCCCACAGATATGAGCATCACTGTCCTCAAACAGCAAATGACCAAGTCTCTGACCTCGTTGGTCCAGGTTCAGCACTGAAGTATGGATTGCTATCTTTGGACCAGTCACTCCTCACAGAGGGACAACTGGATCCTGCAGACTCTGCTCTGTCCTCCTCTTCCTTCATCATCATCTTCTTGTGGACTTCAGTCAGTCTGAGAGGTAAACCACAAACACTCAGTGAGTTGACATTAACAGGAGTAACTGAGTTACAGTCACTGACCTCTGACCTGTCATGTAACCTAGAAACCAGGTCAACATGTCTTTAGGTTCTCAGTCATCCAGGTCATGGTTATCTAAGGAGCTTGAAAAGAAAACAGACTTCTTTAAGTTTCTTGAAGATGTTTCATCTGAGAAGCTTCTTCAGTTCTAAAACCAAATGGTGGAGAGTCCCAGATATTTAAACCCTCGAGGGAAAGAGAGGGGCGCTGACCCACTTGTGATGAGGCACATGATCAATAGTGGGTTTTACTGACTCTCACTAGCTCTGCTTTGACAGTGACAACCATCACTGAGCAGCATATCAAAGACAATTGTGCAAAATAACTGCATGTTGTGGGTCAATGTTTGTTCATGTTAGATGTATTTCCTCTTTGTTGTGATCAGTGTTGGTCATTGCTCAAAAAGTAATTATTACACATAATACATAGAACATTTTTATCAAAAGTAATCCATTACATTACTTCATTATGTAATGATGTTACACAGTAACATTACTTTGATGTTACTCTGTAAAATGAGCTGAAACACTCTCATAATCACCATTTAACAATATAAAGCTGAGGCTACAGCCCCACACACCAACACAGATCATATCCTTGACACACATGATCTTTCTCTGAGTGTTTATGTGTGAACACAAATCAAAGATGAAACCAGCACAAAGACATTTCAAAGTAATTCTACTGTAGAAACATGAACAGGTAGAAACCTGCAGCCTGACTACTCATCAGTTTGTGACCTGTTCAAATTCAGTAGCTGTTCAGTTTATCATGGTGCTGGTCTGGTGTCAGCATTTACTCAGCTTTAACCCTCTGGGGTCCAGGGTATAACTGGCCATTTTTACCTACTTTTGATTTGACCTCTATATTTCACCTTTAAAAACTGTTAGCTTTGCCTTGTTTGGTATATTTTTTTTCAGCACAACATAAAGTGTCTGAATTTACAGTTAGTTTTTCATTTTGACTAACTGTATTGGCACAACTGATATAAAATCAGACAAAAAACATAAAATCCGAGTAGGCAAAATGTGATATTTTTTACTGTACAAACCCCAAACATGTTTAACAAATGTTTTTATGAACCTGCTTGGCACTGAACATCTCACGATG